TCCCTATCTACCCCTTTTCCCAGGAGTTATCATTGAATTTTATCCTGAACAAAAGGAAATGCCTGTAATAACAGAGAATGATACTTCAAATCTCTCAGTAAGACTTCTGATGTGAAAAGAGATAGCTCAAATATAAAAGAGAAAGAAAAAGGCCGAGATAAAGAAGTAGCAGACTCTCCCTTGGTGAGGACTGCATCTTTTTCCTTTATCTTAAAACAAATCCATAAAACATAAATCTTAATGGGAAAGACAAAACTAGCGCACAGGCACACAATAGAAGTTGTTCTTCTTAAAGACACGTCTGAGACTCAACTTGAGCCATGCACTGCTACACTGTGACGTTTTGATGCTTGCTCTCTTAATATTCTTTCTGAGCAGGCTGAATTGTGGAAGGCCCTTCATAAGATTTAAAAGGAGAGCGAGTCTTTAATATTTCTTATGCTATTAATGATTGGGTGCATTTTACAAGTTGAATGCATACAGCTCTGGTGCAATTCAGATCTCTTATTTCTCTACCAGAACAGAGATCCCCTTTACAAACAATAATACACTATGGCTTAAAGCAATTCTTGTCAACTGACCCATTTTATTAAATTCAAAGTATATAGAAGAGATGTGACCTTGCGAATACAAGTAGAGTCCCTAAAGACGCTAGAATAAATGGAAGGTGCCTGGGAAACTTCTTGTCTGAGGACAGCACACAAAATGTAGATAATCCCTAAATTGAATCTGGCTTTCAGACGATAACACAAAGCCTAACAGTAACATTTGCATAAGGCATAAAATTGGTTTAGATTACATACTGGAATATGATTACTAAAAGAAAGAAAGAAGGGTTCTTTATAAGATCTGCAGGACAATTTAGTAACAGTCATAATTGGCTAATTTTTATCATCAGTGACTAATGTGCTTTATTGCCTAGGAAATTTTGGAACAAACCATTTTTTTTCTTGTTGTAAAATTAAATCATGTTAAAAACACACACTTTTTGAAATGGTGGAATTTCCTTCTATTTTTCCACATGTTAGTAGGTAAGTATGTAAATATTGCATGAAACTTATTTTATTAGTGACTGAAATGTATATCCGTTAGGAAATACACCCTAAAGTACAAGTAGTGAGTTTACTGTCTTTTCTGACTTACAAGTATGTGGAAGAATATGTTTGATTTCCTGGCACACACTCCTTTGAAAATGATTTACACCGGTGATTTCTGAAAAAATATTTAGTCTATGTTTCAAGAAGTAGATAAGAATAGAAGTGGATTCTATTTCTGATCAGGAAAAAGGGAAATTTATCACATCAGGACAAATACTGTAAGCGCCTACACCTTGAATAACAGTATGAAGAAGCAATGGCGAGATTTTTCATGACTTACATGCACACACCACAGGCTGACTAGCTATGTTTTAATTTGATTTAAGCATTACACAATATACATATATTACAAGAGATTGCCTGGTACCCTATTCATTTTCAAAGTTCAGTTTTTATATATCACTGAAACAAATTTAAATAGTAAAAACAGTACATTGAAAACATAACATCTTTTATTTTATTGGCAGGGAAGGGTCTACAGGGCCTACTACTAGATCAGACTCATAGTGATTCTCCTGTTTACAGCCTCCCAAGTGCTGGGATTACAGGCACATGCCACCACACCCAGTGTTAATTGCCATCTCAGCGCACCCTGGGGCAGGGCCAGCACGGCAGGCCTGGGGATTGAACCCCGGGCTCCTGCACCTGCTTTCAGGTGCTTTAATCCACTGAGCTATTTGGTAAGCCCTTCATTGTTTCTTGATTAGCTTCTTATTTTAATTTACAGGAATAACTATGCAGCTCATTTGTTTGTATTACCACATTGTTCACATAGATCAATATATTATCAATTACAAATGTTCATGTAGCCACTAATGTGGACTCTACTTTCACTAAATAAAGTAGTTTTGTTTCTTTTTCATTTTTCACTTAAAATTGTCTCACCTAGCTAAGTCTTCCTTTTCAGTTGAAAAAAACCCAAAACTTTTCCAGATTTTTTCAAAACATAAATTTACTGGAAAATAATTTATGAATCAATACAACTTCCTTTCTATTACAAATGCCTCCCTCCCTATTTACTAATGGTATTAAAGACAATCTGAATACAAGGACTCTCTAGAATTTCTTTGAGGACTAAAAGAGATAGCTAATGAGATATCCTAATTGAAACTTCTAGTACTGAAAAGGAGTGAAGAATTGTGAATTCTGTGCACTATTGTTGGTGTCACTAACCCTGTTCTGGAAGAAAATGCATCTGAAGCTAAACAGCATCGTTTTCTCACACAATAGCTGTCTTTCCAAAACCGTGTCTATTCCCCAAGTCACAGCTAGAGCTGACATTTTTGGTCAGTAGATGGGAAGGGCAAGTTGTAAGAAATCCTTATGTGGATTCAAAAGAGTTCAGTCCCAAGTACTGACTGCTAGAAGGTAGAAGGCCAGGGAGCGAACAATCACTTTAGCTGCAATGTGAGGAGGCCATTGTGTTTCTAACGGCAAAATCTTCACTCCTCCATGTTTCACCATGGTGAGGCAGCCCACCAACCCTGCAGTGAGCAGAGGGAGGCTCTGTTCTTTCCATTTCTTAACTTGAGATAATTTTGGATCTTCTCACCAAAACCGACCTTACATTTGATGGTTGGAAAAGACTTTTTCCAGCAAACTTATACTAGAAGCAAACTTTACAGTGAAAAATTTATATTGCATTGAATAACTTGTATTAATGCACAACACACCACTTAGGTATAGGATATAACATATCATATGTGATACATATTTTCTAGTACATACATATACTAGCACAGAAACTAAGTATATGATATAAACCATAATTGAATATTTAATGTTTCCCCCTGCAAAAGTTCATTCTTTAAATATGCAGCATTAGCACAAGTGAATCACTCTCTAAATTACTGTGAAAGTAGCAATGGGGAGGGAAGAGTGTTGCCTTTTTAATTAAATTAATTCATGAAGCTGAATGAGTATTTCTACAGGGAGAGACACTAATTGATTTATTGGATTTATTCCAAACTCTAAAAAAATTTAATAAATAATTAACAAAGCTCAATAAACTTTTCGCATGGAGCATACCATTCAGAGCTATGAACTAATCCTTGAAAGATATATACACAACATAGATAATGAAAACCTTCTCCAGGAGTGTTTCACCCAT